CTCCCCAACCAACATCGAACCCTACTTTCTTCCCCTGCAACTTCCTCCCCTCACTCTGTTGCCGCTGCCAGTAGTAGATCCGCCCCGGCGATCCCCTCCACCTTCCTCTGACACAGGGCGCCGCCGCCTAGCCCAGGACCAAGCCACCGCGCTCCCTCGCCACTGGATCTCGTTGCCGCCCACACCGCGACGAGCCCGGGCACCACGAGCCGCCGCGAGACCTCCCATCGCCGGATCCGAACAACCGCGGCCCCACGCGACCCTTCATCACCGGTTCATAGCCCACAAGGCCTCGCGCGAGCCGCCTCTCTTCCTCCGTCGCATGGGGCCGCCCCACCTTCTCCTCCTCCGCTGGTTCAGATCGAGCAAAAGGACGAGCTTTCTCCTCCTCGTTGCGGTCCCCGGCCATGGCGCCATCCGTGCTGTTCGGCCGCCGCCCCACCTCGTGCAGCTCGGTCGTCGCCCCTGTGCAGCTCGCCCCCCTCCCCGCGTGCAGCTCGGTCCCCGGCCAAGGCTTCCCTCCTCCAGATCCGGCGTCCATGGCTTCCACTGCCTCCTCTACGCCTGTAATGGCAGTGATAACCACCCGTGCAGTTCATCCACGGGCTTCCAGGGCTTCTTTCTTCTTTTTTGCAGTTTTGGATGTGCAGTGCTGCCGGATCCTGCAAGCAGTACGTTGTGCGCCTTCGTGTGGTTCATCCACGGCCGCCGCGAATCCCCTCCCTTCCCTACCCCCGCTCCTGCCCGCCTCACCCCCAATGGTCCACAACTCCACAATCACCCCGCCACCTCGCGCGCACCTACTGCTCGTAGTTTGGAAACGGCCTCCGTGCAATTCGTTGGTGGATGCCGCGGACAGGCAATTGATGTTTTTTGTGTTCTTCAGTTCAGTTGTCCAGTGACAACATGCAGTCTGCTCGCTCATCTATGCAGATTTAATTTTGTTGTTTTTGCAGGGAAGGAGATACATAAAACAAAGAAGTTGACCGCACCGACGATGAAGTTTTTTGTTTGGTGCAGTTTCAAATGTTGCCTTTGAAATAAAATGTACTCCATTTTGGTTGACCATCTTTCTCTACTCTGTGATATCCGATGAGTGGGTGAGAGGAGTTGTGTGCCGTGTGCACGTGCTATTCATTGTTGTTGTGTTTCTCCCATGTAGTGCAGAACACATTAGAAAAATACCTACGAAAAAATTGTGTGGTTTTACTACTCTTGACCCTGCAGCGCAGAACACATTAGAAAAATACATATAGAAAACATGCAGTTAAGTACGACAAACACATGCATGATTTTGTTTAAAAAAATGTTGTTCATATCGCGTGGTGTTGTGGTTCATTCTTTTGGACTATGCGGTGCACTTTGGTC